CTTTTTTTTTTTTTTTTTTTCATCAATGGATCCTGAAAAAAGTATCACGTTACAAAATCATTAAAGTTTTTAATATATGTTAATATATGGAATGTTTGGTGATCAGCAGTATGCCACAAACGCTGTTGATTGAGCTGAAGTTGTACTGAATACTCTTTTAATAAAACAAGAATATTTGAAGAACAGGACAAATGACGTCTCTACTCACCATAGACGGAAACACTGAATGTTTTCGATGTCAGATTCGCTCCACTTATCTCTAGTTGATAAACTCCAGCATGTTCAGATGTGATGTTTTTGATGGTCAGAGATCCAGTTTTACTGTCCAGCTTCAGTCTGTCTCTGAATCTCCCATCAGGAATGTAATGTGGAGAAGATTGTCTTCTTTTTTAAATTTTAGCTATGAGAGAGTTTTCAGCTCCATACTTCCACATAATGTCGTCGCCTTCACATATTTCAGTAACACCAGTGTATAAAGTGACTGAATCTCCCTCCATCACTGACACCGACTCACCAAACACACCTGATGAACAAACAGATTAAAGCTTCTGAGAGATGTATCTTCTATCCAGAGCACAGTGTATGAAGCTACTAAGTCATTTGCATAATAAAAAAAATCACCTTGATATTTAACTTCTGTAAAGTATATAAACTATATATTTTCACTTACCAGTCAGATGCCACCAGCACAGACACAACAAAGCAAACACATGAAACATTTTCTGATAAGTCTGATCTAATGAAACTATCTGCTGAAAGCACTTGAGCTGGTGTGTGAATCCTCCCACGACAGTTTAACCCTCCTTGTGGGTTCTTTACAGGCACTTTACAAATGATTTATAGTTACATATAAGTGCTCTTCTAGCACTTATTAAGACTTTGTAGTAGAAAACGTTTTTCATTTTATTATTTAATACTGAGCATTTTTCAAATGAAGACCTCGTCGACATGTCAGCCATTGGAACAGATCCTGAGCAATGACCACAAGAACCAGACAAGCTGCACAGACTCCTGTGGCCAGCTTTGTCTCCATACCAGCGTGATGAATCCGATCTTCAAGCAGAAGGAACTGGATGAAATATTCTGAATGCTACCGATCTCAATCTGACTTGTGATGCGGGCTGAATCATAATCATACAGTGTTCGTTTGGTGGTCAGAGGAGAACTGGCTCCCCGACCAAGGTTATCTCCACCAATAAAGTCTAAGCTTTGGCATCTGGAACTCGAGTGATTTTTGCAATTAGGGGAAGACAATTTCCACAACAGCTTCAGCTGTACAAAACACCCAGAATCCATCATCTTCCTGTTATCACTGTAAAGCTGCTTCAAAATAATCTGTATTGTTTAAAGTGCTATATAAACCTGATTTGGTAGATTTGTTGTATTGAAGCATTTAGCATTGTAGCGCATATCATCTTGACCCATTCGCTTTGACCTGTTTAATCTGTGAAGATCTGAATGCATTGAATTTTGTCTTGCACTTGCACTTTTGATCCCAAAGCTGAATATCTGTGCATATATACACTTTACCTTGTTGAATTATTAAAGTAATAAACGATCATTTAACAATTAATAAACTCCTGACGGGTTAGGATTAAGCGCTGTCATATAGGTTAGCCTACTATTGCCATAATATATTTATACTATATTTTATAAACGGAACAGGAGGAAAAGCTTTTTTTTTCATATGCATATTAGGAGAAGAACGTTCACTACGTCATCACGCTACTTCCATGTGGAGACTCCCAGTTTGCTTTCAGTTTGTGCTGTTAAGGCGGACTAACACTTAAGGCTGATTTATACTTCTGCGTCGGACCTACGCCGTAGGCTATGCGTCAGTTTTCATTTATACTTCTGCGTCGTTGTCCGCGTCAACGTGCAGTACACATGCAAACCGCTAGTCTACAGTGTCTACAGACATGTTGCTGGTGTAACCCGCAGTACTTGGGGCAAAAGCCGAAGAAGAAGCGTCTCGTCGGAGAAGCATTATAGCCGTGACGGCGGCAAATAAATATCAAATCATTAAATCATTATTTAAAACTACAAAAAGGAGACAACAACGGAACAGGAGATGATGGCATTCTTTCAATCTGCACAAGGACTTGTTGACTTGGTAGATTTGTTGTATTGAAGCATTCAGCATTGTAGCGCATATCATCTTGACCCATTCGCTTTGACCTGTTTAATCTGTGCAGGTCTGAATGCATTGAATTTAGTCTTGCACTTGCACTTTTGATCCCAAAGCTGAATATCTGTGCATATATACACTTTACCTTGTTGAATTATTAAAGTGATAAACGATCATTTAACAATTAATAAACTCCTGACGGGTTAGGATTAAGCGCTTTAATATAGGTTAGCCTACTATTGCCATGATATATTTATACTCTATTTTATAAACAGAATAGGACGAAAGGGCTTTTTTCATATGCATATTAGGAGAAGAACGTTCATGCGTCATCACGCTACTTCCATGTGGAGACTCCCAGTTTGCTTTCAGTTTGCGCTAAGGCGGACGAGCACTTATGCATCCGAATTCGCATTCGTTTTCTGAGGGGAAAAGTGGTGATAATGAAGCTTTTCTTTAATGCACTCGCAGTTACTTTGTTTTTACTCTACCATGGTGAGATCTTATTCGTTACAGTCTCCCTTTTCCTCTTTTGTGTGGCCTAATAGGCCTATACGCGTCTTGGGCACTTTGTAGCCTTATTGTTCGCGTAATGGCTAAGCTGAGAACAGAGCCTAATACTGTTCACAGAAAACGATGGTCAGTGGTAAACATTTTAACAAAAAAAAAAAATAAATAAAACGATTCTATGGCAGTTGAAACGAGATCAGACCAGTTTAATTTGCGTGAAAATTTTGTCATTTTTCATGTCACGTGACTAGGTATAAACAAGTAACTTAAGTAAAAGTTGACATTTCATTTCAGTGCACAAACTGATCCAATGTAGCTTGGATGCAATGTGAGTCACTTTGGTTGAAAGCTTCTGCCAAATTCATAACGTTGCCTACACACGTTATTTACGTGAGAGGTTAAGGACTAAAATATGTTTATAAAATGTAGAAAACACGGCACTGTATGTCTTTATGCGGTGTAAAATAAGTATCATGTACTTTTGTGGGTACTGGTCATCTATGTAATATTTATTATGAGTCTATGAAAACGTTTTATTAATTGTATGTTCAAGTAGGCCTATATGTATAGGGAAAGAGGTAAAAGTATTAATCAGGAAGTGGATTGTGTGTTGTGTAAGATCATCCATGAGAAGTGTGTGTGTGTTTGTCTGATGAGTGAATGTGTGAATCTCTTCTGCTGTTTGTTTGCAAGTTACATTATGAATCCAGACATATTTCTCTATGTTTATGATTTTTCACAGCACTATTGTATATTTTGCTTATGTTTCTTCTTCAGTTGCGTCTGGTTTTGGTTCAGATAAAGTCGCAGTGTCTGTGAAGGAGGGAGATTCAGTCACTCTACACACTGGAGTTGAAACAAACCAACAAGAAGATATTAAATGGTATTTCGGCAGCACTCGCATCGCACAAATCAGTGGAGATCTCAGTTTTATCTGTACAGATGTTCAGTGTAATGCAGGTACTGAGAGATTCAGAGACAGACTGAAGCTGGATCATCAGACTGGATCTCTGACCATCACAAACACCAGAACCACAGACTCTGGGGAATATAAACTGAAAATCATAAGCAGCGACGACAGTGAAAAGATCTTTAGTGTTTCCGTCACTGGTGAGTCATTAATGAGTGTTTAAATGCAGTTTAAAATACAAAATCCTCCAGCAGCTGTTGGTTTGTGTTTCAGATGTTTCTGCTGCTGAACTATATGAAATGAAAGAGGGAGAATCTGTTACTTTAGATCCTGGTGTAATAAAACACCCAAATGATGTGAGGACGTGGTGTTTTAATGACACTCTTATCGCTGAAATCACTGGAGATCAGAGTAAGATCTGTACAGATGAACAGTGCACACATCAATACTCAGAACTCAGAGACAGACTGGAGCTGGATCATCAGACTGGATCTCTGACCATCACAAACACCAGAACCACAGACTCGGGACTCTATAAAGTACAGATCATCATCAGTGACAGCAGCTTCAGCATCACCACAGTGAAGAGATTCAGTGTTTCTGTCACTGGTGAGTAAATAACTTCATTCAGTGCAACATTTACAACCCAATATGTGTTTGGTTTGGGACTGTGGACTGTTTTGAGTCAATAACACTGACTGATGATGTTATTAACATGCAAAATGAATAATATCAGCCAGTTTCCCTATGAGCCATGCTGCTTCCTGTTGAGCTGAATGTGCTGTGATGCTGTTCACCGCTGTTGCTAGAAACAGCAAAAGGTGCCATTTATCAGTTTAATCAATGCCATTCAACTGATGAATGAAGTAGAAAGTGATGTTATGTGCGGCCAAATATGGTGTTCCATACTCGGAATTTGTGCTTTGCATTTAATCCATTCAAGTGCACACACACCATGAACACACCTGGAGCAGTAAATATCATTTGAAGATATTGCTAAATATTGGATTTATTATCATTCACTCTAGTAATAATGACTGTCTTTATCTGTTCCAGATTCAGATCTGCCTTCAGCTGCTGTAGCAGGAATAGTTGTTGCTGTTGTTCTGCTTGTGGCTGCTGCTGCTGTAGCTGCTGGTGTGGTTTACTGTCGCCGCAGGAGCCATACAGCAGTACCACAGAATGTAAGTATTACCTACAGCTGATTTAACAAAATATATATGAGATTTACTGTGCAAAAAATATTACAGGAACAGTGGTATGAATACTTTTTTATATTAATTTTATTATATAACTCGTTGACTGAAACAAAAACGTGCACTGTAAATAGTAATCTTGTATTTAATTTTAACAACACAGAACCAGATATTCACGAGTGAGGCAATGTCAAAACATTTAAAAACACAACTCCCAAATAAACTAAATAACAGTTAATATAACAACACAGAGTGCAACCTTTGTCACAGAGCAATTGTCTTTGTCACCAATGCATCAGTTCAAGAATTCTAGATGTGATATTGAAATAATACAATACTTCAAGTTTATACTAAAGAAGATGACCATCTGATGCAGTTTAAGACGTTGTGCTAAATTATTAGGGAATGAAAACCTTTCCACAAACAACTGTTCCAATTCCAAGTCTCTAGTAAACAAAAAAAAGAAACCTCATTCCACTTTTTTCTTGCAGATTTCTTTTTGTGTAAATATTTGTATGAACATAAAACGATTCCACAACTAGGTGTCTTACATTGCAGTTTATTGCTCTGTTCACATCTGCAGTCCTCATGCCTCCTCCAGCAGGTCTATGGCATCTTCACACAGCTGATCAGACAGAGACTCAGAGCATCTTTAATCTGGTGTTTTTCACAGTCAATAGAAAGGTCTCTTTCTTTCCAAGGAAGATCTGTAAAGCTTATTCGGATAATCTTAAAAAAAACAAAAAAACATTGTAGTGAAAAGGTGCATTTCTTTTTTGCTGAGTATTTATTTATTTTGTGTAACTTAAACATCAGACCTCCTCATTCATTTGACCTTTTGTGAATGTGTTTTCTTACAGGAGGATGATGATGGTAACTCACCGCCTGATCCTAAGGTAGATGGGATGTCCTTAAACTCTGTTTACTCACAAAGTGATCCGAAGATTTCAGTAGTCAGTACCAATACCAGTACAATTGTCACACCTGTTATAGCATACCAATTTAAATGACATAAACAATTATTTTTATTTTATTTTTTTAAATAGATTAAAAGGTAACATTTAGCATTGAAAAGTATATGAGAAATAATGTAAGTAACATGGTAACAGCATTAGAACAGAGTTGTTGTTTTTTTGTATGTAGAGGTTTATCAAATCTGCTAAAGTGATTGAGATGGAAACAGAACAGTGAGACATCTGTTTCATGTTTGTTGCACTACAGGAAGTATTAATGCACTGATCTGGTTTGACATATGAGTCATTGTGTCCAGCCTGTTTATATCCGTACTGATAGAACGGACTGCGTTTCCACAAATACCGCACCAAGTTGAGCATTACACTGGGGGGGATATCTTTTCAATATTTTTGTTTTGTTTCCCATTTCATCAAGATGCATTAAAGGCAGAGTAAGTGATTTCTGGTAGCCAATGTTGATATTTGAAATCACCAAAACAAACACGCCCCTACCCAAAAAGGGTCTTGCCCCTATTTTGATAGCTCAAAGCTACCAGTGGCATCAGAAAAACTCAATTCAAAAAGAAAATAACTTTATCAGCTGAGAGTTAGATGATGCAAGCTTGACTAATGTGACTGGATAGAGCTAACACTACGCTTGATTATGTTGCTATTGTTTATTATTTAACCACTAACATTAACTGTTAGTCATCCACCTTCAACAGAAAACACTGGTTGACCAACTTTGAATAGCGTAGCTATTTATATGTACACCAGAACTAAAACCAGATTAAACCATTCTGCATCAATTTAAATTATAGCTGCAAGCAGCAGTTATTGGGGTTCAAGTGCTTTAAGGCCTTTAAATCAATGCATTAAAAAGTATTCTGTTTTCTTTAGCAAGCATGTAAACACTTATATCATAGAGAGAAAAGACCATTCACAGCCAACACAGGCAAAGGAAATGAAAAAAAAATGAAAACATTTTCTTCAGTAGTTCAGTGTCTGATCTAATATAACTATCCACTAAAACACAGCAGAGCGGGTAATGTGGTATTGTGTGATAGTTGTCTGTGTTAAATGGCTAAAAGTAGAGAAATATTGTGTGAATTGTGTATAAACTACATGTCATGATAAAATAGAAAGTGATATTGAAATATGTGTGTATATTCAATTCTCAATTGTAGTGTATGGGGAAAAAAGTACATACTTAAAACCGTGTAGGATCTCACAGTACCAGTTTTACTGGCGTTCATCTTCTGTGTCCAAATCTGGTCATTGTTCTTTAGAGATGTGGTTTGATTTGTTGGGTGGACAAACATCTTGTTGAGAGGTTATTCAGAGCACAAGTGTTCAGTGAGTAGATGAAACCATTCAAAAGATGAACCATCTTTTGTCAGACGAACACAATCGGAGTTATATAAAAAAAAATACACTGGTTCTTCCAAGCTTTATAATTTTATTAATTAGCAGTTTACTCTTTTTTTTCTGTTTCAGTTGTGTTTGCTTAATTCATTTATGTTTTACCTTAATAAATATCTACTTTTGGGTTGATTAAATTTGCACGTGGCCTTCCCGTTATGTGACTCTGTCCTGAACCATGGGATTTGTAACTGTACTCAGCCTAACTTTACTCCTCTCCAACTGAAGATAGAAACAAGTTCAAGGGGTAAAGTAGTTGTAATGCTTTTCATTGGAGCCCTCTTGTGGGCGGAAAGGCTTTTTTCTTGTTGTTGTTGCTTTTTATCTTTGGGCAACTGGACTAACCAACCAATAACAACCTGTGATTTATTGAGAAATGCATTATTTGTATTCTTTATTGTATTCTTTATTTGTTTTTATGTCATTTTAATTTCATTTTTTTATATAATTTTATTCTTATTATATATACAAATTTTATACATTTTAAACTTTTTGTACATTTTAACTTTTTTTTTTTTTTTACATTTAGGCCATATGTTTTGTATTTATTATTTATTTGTTTGTTTGTGTGTGGAGTAATATTTCTATAGCCATGGCATTAATAAAGAATGGTGCTTATTGCAATCGATGCTGCAGAAACAGGATGCTCTTGTTTTTTTTTGTCCCGCTCATGATTTTTCCTCTGCACCTTAGCTCTCTCTTTCTGAACAACTCGGTTAACATTCATTTGGCCAGTCAATTTAATGTAATGTATGTATTTTATTTCCACAAGACTACTCTCACATTACTCGTGTTATGTAATATGTAGCCTAATAATATTGTACAAAATTGTAAAAATATATAATATAGACAAATAGAGCATACATCTTTCTTTCTGACACTACTTACATCAAAAATACTCCCATAATTTTCCTTTACAAAAAAATCCTGCAGGAATCCTACAGGAAAAATCCCACTTTTTTAAAAGCAATGTTACGTGTCAAATTTAAACACCAACAAAAAATAAAAAACGACTTCAGATAATATTCATTATTTATTAGTCAAGAGAGCTTAAAGATTAAATGAGACAAGTGTGAAGAAACTGAACACTCTGAACAGAACGTGGCCCATCATTCTGCTGAAACCAATATGTATTAAAGTGTCGAACATCCATTAACACAAATAATGAACCTTTAAAAACGTAAACTTAAAAACACTTAATACTGACAAGCCATGGTGCACTGTCTTCAAAACAAAAATGCCACACAGAATAATATACTTAAGTGCAAACTCCATCAAGCCTGACTTCCAGAAACGCAGAGACAACTTCTCCAAACATGAGTAGGAAAATACATACAACAAAATACTTATACTTGTGAGATTAAATTTAAACAGTGCAATAACTCTTTTGTGTATAAGACTGCAGGTGGGCATATGTTGTTGTTTTTTCTGACGCTCCTGTCACTCCACTTCTCAGGTCGTCATACATCTCCCAGACCCATGGAGACCTCCTGCAGTAGGCCACATAATGTCCAAGAGCATCCTAGGTTAAGCCTCTTTTGAAAGCGATGACCTATTGTACAAATACAATAGGGTCTGGGTTTGGTGCTCGGACCTGGGAAGGTGACAAGAGTTGGAATGCAGTTCCATTGTGGAATAATGAATGTGGAATAGCTATTAGAAACAGGAACAGAGCATTTAAGAAGATAAAAGCATCTCACTCATATCTAGATCTAAATAACAGCAAGAAAGCACAAGCTTCTGCAATACTACGAGAAACTTTGAACATAAAAGAGCCATTGCTAGGGCAAAGAAGACAATATGATCTGACTGCTGATGCTCAGAACTGAGGTGACACTGACCTCAGCTGGTGATAATGAGTTATTGGTTCCAGATATGACTAGTCTTAAACGAAATGTATGTCTCAGATTTGATTGCTTGCGACTGATTGCCTTCTGATATTTTGGATTTTTTGAAAAACATATTTTTTGCGAACTAGTCCTAGGTATTTTGTCCAGTTGCAACAAAACCAGTGCAGATATATTCTGGATTCTGTAAATAATTATGGTTGCGTGAAAAAAAAAGACGCAGTGACTGGACACTTAGTGGCACTATATAAAAAAAACCCTCAAACTGCTTTAGCAATGCAAAACTATCATGCAGTGTCGTTGTGCAAGCTGCTGTGATGTCTTTGAGGACATTTGCAATGAAGGCCAGACGGAAGCCCATCAGAACAAAAAATTGCTGAGTCTGTTTGACTCCTTGCCTTAGAGGCCTACGAGAAATTAGAACGAAATCAGCCTCTGGGGGTGCCATTGGTGCATAATTGTATGTTATGTGATTTTTTTACACATGCACAGGATATTCATAACATATGGTCTCCTCATTCTGAACAACTTTGCTTCTAAAACTATGAAGCATGCAATTTTTATGGATATTGGACCATAGGTGGCGCTATAACAACAAAAACCTTTAAAAATCCTATTTTTTTTTTTTTTTACACTTCATTTCTTCTCTCATTCAAGTTAAATTCTGTAGATATGTTTTTATATATGGAAATAATTTCTGTTGCCATTTGGTCATTGATATACTTTATTTAGCTTTTGATATACTATGGGATACCGTTTTGCAGCAGCAAGCATCACAACAGAGTAAGGAACCTTAAGGTTTATCCAGGTAAATGTGTGCTAAAATATAGGGCTCCAATCCTATATTTTGCCGGGGCCCCCAAATCACTAAATCCGACCCTGGTCATATTAATCTCTTTCCTGTTGAGCTCACAGAACTGCTGCTGTTTCAATACTGTTCTTCAAAAACACAACAGATGGCGCCATTTATCAGTTCAATCAATATCATACAGCTGCTCAATGTATAAAAGTGTAAATATCAAAGGATTCAAATGATCAGTTTCAAGGTAGCCATCTAACTGTGTTAAGTAATACTGTTTGTATGTACTATATATAACAGGGCGTGAATAGGGGGCGGCATTGTTTTGTACACAATTTTTAACGTTACTGATAGTTGGGTAAAACACCCTGATGTGTATAAAGTCACCTAATCAATTACATTTGCAACAATTCTGCAATTACATTTTTAGAAAGCACATAACTGCTCAAATAATTGCTACGATGTAAAATAATAAGCCTAATTAGGGATAGTAAAAATCCATTTCCAAAAACTCAAATATAAAATAAAGCTTGGTATGACCACTTGGCCAAAAAATGGGGTATATATACAACCTCCTCTAGCCCCTGATGTTTTCAATGTGCCCAGATGCGCCCAGAGCTCCCTATTGTTTCACATGTGAAGTCTTATTGTGAACACTAGATGGCGATCTATGCTACAGTTATACACACTTTCTATTAAATTAACACCTGCTGTTAGATTTAACAATTTAGTGGGGGAAATGCCTACATTGATAACAATTTATAGTATTATAGCAGATGTTTCACCAATGACAGATTTATTATTATTATTATTATTATTATTATTGTTGTTGTTGTTGTTGTTATTGTCTAAATTAAATTATTTATTTATTTATATATTTTGCTGCTCTTAATATGGAGTTTTATATAGAGTGATCAGTTATGTGATATTTACGGCTCAGGAGTTATGCTACACACTAATGAAGACAAAACATTTTAAGACTTTAATAAGGTCCAGCTATAATATTTATTGCAAGATATATGCCAATAAACATATCTTGCGTTTGTAATTTGTTATTTTGTTTTCAGAATTGTGATTTGTTTTGCACTTCTAGGTCACCGTAGTATATATACAACCTCCTCTAGCCCCTGATGTTTTCAATGCGCCCAGATGCGCCCAGAGCTCCCTATTATTGTTTCACATGTGAAGTCTTATTTTGAACACTAGATGGCGATCTATGCTCCAGTTATACACACTTTCTATTAAATTAACACCTGCTGTTAGATTTAACAATTTAGTGGGGGAAATGCCTACATTGATAACAATTTATAGTATTATAGCAGATGTTTCACCAATGACAGATTTATTATTATTATTATTATTATTATTATTGTTGTTGTTGTTG